AGTAAGCATAAAAAGTAGTGCAGTAAGCATGTCGAAATATGACCAAAACTTGGAACCTCAGATTTGGGGAACACAAATGGGCAGTGTACTCCGTTAAGATGAAGCTGCACCCAAAATCCCAATATCTGAACATGTATTTACTGTTTATTCCTTCTTCGATAGGCGTGTTGGGTATCACGTCATCCCTAGGTAAGTAGTTGCGAGTTCGATGCCCATTTGTATCCCACATAATGAGTACGCTGCCATGAAGAAAGAATGGTCAGTAGGTGAAAGTTAAGGTATTAATGCCACAGTTTGGAACGAGCGCACTCTTCATCTTTGATTTCACGTCGAGGAAATTAAAACATCGTTTGAGGCGTAACAGTGGAGAAAATGCGGTGGTACGATTTTCCATCTTAATCTTCTTTGGAAAAATTCGGAAAGTTGGATAATTTGGTGCCACTCGATCTTAGCTGCAGCTATGAGCTGCGACGACGAGAAATCTGTAGTCATTTGCTTGTTCGGATAATAAGAGGGCCACCTTTGGAGAGCATTATCAATTGTGCTGGAAAATAGATGTATAGTACGGGAAACGTCGTCCAGCTGGGCGATGAGATAATGATGAAAAAGTCCTAATCGTTAGCACTATCGTTGATAATGTTCATGATTCCACGACAGGCACAAAGACATTACGTTGGAAGCATCAATCTTCTTTGCTATCTCCCTGCTCAATAGGTAAATTCTTCGACTGAAGATGATTTATTGAATCTTGTTGTCGACTTTTCCATCGCATAATTCCATTGTTAAGAGAAACACTTGGGCAGTAATGGTCAATATGTGTAGCATGCTCGAAAGTTACCCTTTCATTCCATACTACGGTGTTGAAGGAACGAATGTCTCTGTGAAATTTTTCTTTTGGTTGTTCGGTTTCAGCTATTTTGCTTTTATAAGGTTTTATAAAAGTTGTGATTTTCCTACAAAATATTTTCAGATAGATGACGAAGTGTCATCTTCTTCTTCAGTACACATATATCTCGATCTCTGAGTCTTTATAATCTATTTCGTTTAGTTCGTTACTCATCGAATGATTTGCACAAACATCACTTTCTTTACTCATCTTTTCTTACTAGTTATTTTTAACGTTTTGACGAGGAGGTGACCCCAATAGTGTCGACGCGTTTGGTCAACAGAAATGGGTTTTTCTGTTTCGAGTGACTCTGAATCACTGACTATATCTTTCCTAGTTGCTTTAATGCTTTTAACCGAATGAAGGAACAGGATGGAATATATGTCTCGAAAAGCAACTATGCAAACATGCATCAATATGATTAAGTGTATGGAGAAAATAGACGTAAAACATTACGGAGCAATAAATACCGAAAGAATCTTTCTGCATATCTGGTCAAGTTTAGAATCGCTTTTGGTCCGCGCTTAGCTCTTTGTAGTATTATGCACTTTTTCTATCACTTGCATCGTTACATATTCCATCAGTGTTTCTGCTATCAACTGTCATGCGTGGAAACTAGACACCATTGTAGTAATCCTTGAATGTGATAAAATAATATGTAGAATCCGACGCTTCCGTGTTTTCTACGTGACCCACTGCAAACTCCGGACCACAGGTGTATGCAGTGGGGAACGAACACGCGCCGTTGTCCGGGTCGGATGGTGTAGTGGTGAAGTGCGCTGCTCCCCGGTAAGGACAACGGCGCGTGTTCGTTTCCCACTGCATACACCTGTGGTCCGGAGTTTTGCAAATATCTCAGATTCTAACAGTATTCAGATTACTGACGTTCGCTAATCCATGATTGTCTGAAGCTTTAAGCCAAAATTCTTTTCGGACAAGCATGAGTGATATATTCATTCGTCATCAATATATTAAAATTTGCTATTTTTCTGCATATTGAAAAGTGATTTCGAAAGTTCTGCAGGATTACGAAAATGCCCGTTCTGTCGAAGATGATATCGAGCCAGAACGTCTCCTGAGACGAATTAAGCGGAAGAAACAGCGCAGTATTAATAGAGGCGATAAAGTCGACAGGGTAAGCCAAATTACTTTCCACATTTTATATCTTTTAACAAACAAGAACGATGTAGAATAACAATAGTCGATAGAGTGGTTGTGAACAGTGGAGTTGTAACTCTTCTCTGGGGAGCTTCATCTGAACAGTACTTTTTTTTCTACCCCTGATGATCTCTACTTTTCCAAACTCTTATCTATAGTTTATGATTCTATATTATTAATATATAAAAACTTGATTATAGTCTCCACTGGTGCTTGCAAAACATACACTGGTCGATGATGGTAATGGTGGTGATGACGACGATGGCGATGATGATGATGATGATGATGATGATGATGATGATGATAATAATAATAATAATAATAATAATAATAATAATAGTGATAATGAAAATGATAGTAATAACAGCATTAATAATGATAGTGGTGATGACGGTGATAGTGCTAATGACAATGACATCAAAGCTGAAGAAGTTGAGCAGGAGAGAGCGAACGTGTATAAGACGCAGGTGGGAACTTAAAAAGTTTTGTTGCATGTGCGTTTCTTGTAACGTTCCAAATGTACATTTTCCTCAGATATCCAATGAAAAACGAGAAAATTCCCATGGGAAAGAAAATAAAGACTCTGAGAACGGGATTGAAGATGAAGTTGATGTATTTGAAGGGCTATATTATCGAAAGCGAAGATCTCACTTTTCTCGGTAAGCACCATCGACTTCAAGAGATTAAATATTCTTCAAATATTTTTCAGACACCTAACTGACGTGGTACCGAAGCGTGAGTGTAAAAGAAAACATTGTCCTCCCTTATACCAGGCTGAGCCGCGGCGATCACTTTTGAAAACAAAGCACAAGGTAATTTTTGTTTCGTGTATTTTTTACTGATTACTTTGTGATTGTGATGGGTCCAGAATTCCTTAGTGTGCCATTTGTGTAGGCGGCTTGAACACTATAATACTTTTCTAGGCTGCGAGCAATATAGTGACTCGTGCTAAGAACAAAGTTGATGACCGAGATCGTGATCAGGGTCGAGATTACGAGAACGATGAAGAGGACGATGAAGTGGTAGTTCAATTAAACGAGAAGAACACTGAGGTTGTGTCATTAAGTAAATACAGGTATGAATTGGTAAGTAGTGCGTGGCCTAGAAAGCAGTTTGAGTTATTCCATAACTAATCCGGTTAATTTCTTTGCGTAATTTGGAGCATTGGGAGAAATTATTTTCTTTCTCCTTTTTTGTAGAAAAAAAATGATAGGACGACTCAACGACCTTTGCATTGAATATCGGACGTTAATGAGTTTTTAACCTTCAAAGCTTGTGGAGTACCATCTAAAAGGTGTAACTTGAGTATTTAAGATCGTCTGGGCGGGAAACGTATAAACGTCAAGCCATTACAAATCGGGACGACCACAAGAATCGTAATTTACTGGATCGAGCAGACAGTCTTGTGGAAAAGGTGAAGACGAAGCGTTTTAAGAAGAGCAAGAAATACGACTCTCAGTAATTGTTGATCTTAACTGGATCGTGTGCATTTCAAATGACATAGAATCCGAAAGGTACTACTTGCGAAGACAGCAATCAACTCGCTCAAATTATTGCTGAAAAGCACCGTAATGACCCTACTTAGTCCACTATAAGGGCTTGAAATTATGAATTACAGTTAGTAAACCTATCCTTATGATTGAAACACTTGTCATGCGCAAAGATCATTCGTGAATTTCAATGAACGTTGAACTAAAGTGACAATGCCATTTCCGCTCACCGTTAATTCTACGTTGAGCCACATAGTGTTTCCAGCCATTGGTAATGCCTATGTTCCTTTTGTTTACTAACATTTAATTTCTACGATTTTGTGTGAATCGCGAAGGCTCAAGTAATATCATAGACTCGTTCACCAATTCCTGTGCAACGATGTCATGAGTGAATTTTTAGGTTTCTTTTTTTTTCAACCGGAAACCATCTTGTCAAATGTCGGTTGCTGTAAATGCTATTGTCCGACGTGATGAAACCCTTAAATGCTCAATTCTTTTTTTTTCTGGGAGTGTTCTAATAAAATTTTTTTTGCTTGAAACTTGTGAGAGCTAAGTGGAAACGATTTCTTTACGTGCTCCTACTGGAATGTGCAGACAAGAAGATGATTTAACAATGCTTCTTCGATTGGAAAGCTTTGAAATGAGGTTTGATTTCTTCCGAATGTTTCATGCATGTGCTATAACCATGCTCACAGCCATAATTATAGGTTTCTTTTATTCATTAGAACCACAGAGTAATCGTATACTAATTTCTTTTGCAAGAAAACTCTGCTTGGATAAATTCGGAACGAAAAACATTCTACCGTGCGCTTGTTTCTGTGATCTCAAAAGGCGTGAGCTAAAGCTCCGAGGATTGCACTAATGAGGTGCATTAAAATCTAGTCCTTATCCCGCAATACATAAAGAGCTTATGTTCTTCGTCGACGAACAATGAGCTGACTAGATATGAGTGTATGGTCACAAAAGCACGTTATTATTCAACAGCCGTAATGAGCGGAAATGAAAGAGTGATGTCTTGATTTCTGGTTATCGTAAAGATATCGCTTGTTTTAGTATCTATGATATCTTTAATTCACTGAAGCGATAAATTTACGGGGTGAATTAAATAGATTGTCTTAACTCTTTTATTTACTGCCTTTTTCTTCTTAATGGCAAGGTATGTTGTGAAATATAACTCGTATGAAGTGCTGAGATATTTGCAAAACTCCGGACCACAGATGTATGCAGTGGGGAACGAACACGCGCTGTTGTCCTTACCGGGGAGCAGCGCACTTCACCACTACATCATCCGGGTCCTTCGCTTTGCATGTTGACGGGTGATTGCTGATGGCAAAAAGATCGATAGAACTAGCTGAGATACATGCAAAGCGAAGGACCCGGATGGTGTAGTGGTGAAGTGCGCTGCTCCCCGGTAAGGACAACAGCGCGTGTTCGTTCCCCACTGCATAGACCTGTGGTCCGGAGTTTTGCAAATATCTCAGTACTTCATACGAGTTAAATGGATTGTCTTACGGAAAACTTTCAATTTCGTCTTCTTAAGGATCTGCGAAACGAAATCCATCAAATTCGCTACAAATTGAAAAGAACGAGGCGAACTCGTGCACTGGATTTATTTTGATACAATCAGATACAATAATGACATCAGTAAACTGCAGTCACTTATCCACTTTAACAGAAATCACGCCACCTACATTCCTTCGGGCTTTGATAATCTGCTGATTAATTCTTCAGCCTAAATGCGCTAGAGGTCGCTCATCCACGTCTTCTTTTCTTTTCACTCTTTTAAAGCATTCGTATTCAGCACAATTACGATCCTGCGTTTACGATTTTTAACGCCATTCTACGATCTCGTCCCAACTCACCACGAGCACATTTTGGCAGGGGTCGAGCTTACCAACTTAGGTGCGAAAAATGAAAAATATTCTTAGATTTTCTGCAAAAGAGTGAATTCATGCGGTTGTAGAGGAGAACTGACTTCCAACGATATCGAGTTTACTCGTGCCATACAAGAATACGAAAATGTTCTCCAAAACGAGGAAACACCGAGTGCACTGTTTCGGTGAGTAAACCTTTGTTAAAATCATAACATTACTTGGACATTACATGATGAAAGATATATAATTTATGAGTCAACACTCAGAATACAAGTAATCACGTAATCAAGCCATCCACTACTGTGTTTCATTCAATAATTTGAGCGAGACAAATATGATTCGCACTTATCTCTATCGAGCCACGTGAGATGACTACTGGATTTGCTCGCTCTAGGTCCAGTTATTTAAAATTTTCTACGCCGTTCTGTTTATCTTTGATACCTCAACTTTGTTAACTTTTCTAATATAATAATAAGAAGAAGGTCAACAACAAATGCTCCTAGTATGTAAGATTAGTCATTTTTCTGTCCTCCATTTAACTCCGGTCGCTTTAGAGATGACACGAAACAAAGTTTAAGCTAAAGGTACCCAATCGATTGAGCAAGATTAACAAGAAAGTCTGTGTACATTTTTTAAACGTTAAACCAGGGTGTCCGAGATGGAATGAGGATCTCAGTCGTGGCTGAGATATATAGGCCCGGTAGGCTTTCTATACGCACTTGATGAAGGGATTCTTATGATCAGAAAATGGAAGGTGGTCATAAGGTTTCTGGTTGCTGATTATTCACTGGAGATTACGAAAAGTTTTGACAGCGTTTCAACATTTTACCAATACTGTAGCTCTTCTCCCTTTAAGCACTCATTTCTTCTGTGCAGCTTTGCAGGTTTACATCCCAATTGGTTGTTGTCTGAGAATCATGTCGTAATGCTCATGTTATTGACTTGAAAGTGAACAAGCAATCCCGTATTTCTTGATAATTATCAGCTTTCTTAGCGCTTCTAAAGAGGATGGAAATAATCCTATCATATTTATTGCCGATAATTTTGTCAAAACATAAGCTAATGAGTCTCATGTTAACGCTTTCGCGATAAAGCTAGCTTTTGTCAACGCACGATAATTCCTCTCGTAATTGTGGAGGAAGTATTACCTTTTTAGAATTGCAAAACAGTCTTCTCGTTTGGATTAACGTATACCCAGTTTTACTAAAACGCCAGTCCAATTAAAACTTGTTTGGAATCGGAATTCTAGAGAAACTGGAAATTTAAATTTGTTGAAATCCTCTCGCACTCGTCATAGACCCAAAACAAGCGACACATTAAAGAACATCATCATGAGCTACAGAACAAAGTGAGGTTTGTCATTGTAGCATTGTGGTTGGAGGTGCCATGGAATAAAAACAGATTCTTTGATTCGATCTAGTGCTCGGGGAAAACTGTCCAGGAGGTCGTAAACACTATCTTGATATGTCGGAACAGCATCGCGATCTATTAATACAGACCAAGCATGCATTCAATCACTCGTTACAATCCTTATCGAATTCGAGTGCATAGTGCACCCCTTCAGGATTGATTGAAGCCGAGGGAGTTACTCTTTACCCTTTTCAGATGTTATATCATCATATATGTGTTAATAGAAGTCGTATAAACTCAGTTTGGAAACCCATTTTTTTATTTAGTTATAAAATTTTCTAAGTCATTTTGAGTAAAGGACTTCTTCGAAAGAAGAATTTTGTGGTTCCATTTTGAGTAGGATCTGAGCCTACGCGGCAATTTCTCTATTTGACGACGTCGTCGATGTCTTTATAACTATCATGCCGTGACAATGAATGGCAGATCACCTTAGAAGCAGTGATTTACGATGGAAAATATTAAGGTTTACGATAAACCGACACTGTTCTACTAATATGGAAGAAACACATTTCAGCGAAGCAGCATTGCGACTCATCGAGTTAGCTAGCTTTCGTGGTGATTTCTATAGATGTCTTTTAACTCACGGAAGCCTTGTTGACAGGTAAGCTTCGTAAGTTTGTTCGACTTCCTTCCAACAATCACTCACTCGTATACTCTTTGTAATATAAAGAAGTGAAGTACAAATTCAGATTTCCGGATGAAGTACAACATCGAATGAATGTCGCACTAACATTTATTAAGATGAAGAGGTTTAGAGATGCAAAGAAAGTTCTTCACGATGTATGTTCTTCCCCTCAAAAACCGTAATTTATTAGAAGGAGTGTAGAGAACTATAGTGCAATCTCTGAAATTGCGAAGAATGAAATTTAGCATTTATTATACTGCCATCTAAATCTCTGAACTTTTTGCAAAACTCCGGACCGCTCTGCGGTGGGGAACGAGCGCGTTCACCACCACACCATGCGGGTCCTTCGTTTCGCCTGGCTCTCAGCTAGTTCTATCGATTAGTGCCGTCAGCAATCACCCGTCAACGGGATTGATCTGGGGAGCCCACATCGGCATCGAACCAACCCAAATATTGTGAATTCAACCACAGCCTCAGCTTAACTGGGATAGCACTAGCTGAGAGCCAGGCGAAACGAAGGACCCGCATGGTTTGGTGGTGAACGCTCTCGTTCCACACCGCAGTCATCTATGGTCCGGAGTTTTGCAAATATCTCAGCAATCTTGTGGATGTATTTCGCTTAATAACCTGCCATAAAAATTATAGAAGGCAGAAAATAAAAAGTAGAATCTCTGATCTTTCAAAATTTTCTGAAGATATTTCATTTAGATCATTGAGTACGACCATTCTAATGGTGTTGCACTGGCGTACTACGGATACATAATTAAGGTTGTCAGATCAATGCTACTTATTAAAAATTGATATTGAAAATTGTATGAAGGTTTTCATGTCCATTTAACCTTTCAGACTCATTATAGAGAAGTTGTTTCTCTACTTACATGTTTAGGTTGATGAAGATAACGTAGAACAGGGCGTGGCGAACATGAAAAAGGGACTTCGTCTTAGCGGTGATCAAATCACTGACGCAAAGTGAAGACGTTCTTGTCTCATCAAATCTGTTTTGCATATTTCAAATTTTTATAGGTTTTACTACCATCTTGGGCATGGTCTAATGTTTCTAGGAAGATCTTCCGAGGTTTGCATTGATCCCTGTTTATTTATTAAACGCACACAATGGGTTTACGTAAATATGAAAGCCGTAAATGTTTGAGCATATGCATTAAGCCGATTGCAAGTTAACAATGCACTCTTATTAAGGAATAAAAAACTAGGTTATATTGTTGCAAAGCCCAATGGTCTTCCTTATTGTTATCTCAAATGACTTACAATCTTGCTAATGATCGGGTAATTCAAGAATGCACTGGTAAAGTCTACTTTCCTTTCGTTGAACATTAGAATTGCCCAATGAGCTCCAATACGAAACAAAACGAATGACATCATGTTCTAATTCCTCTGATGTTTGGCGAAAAAGTATGTAAATGTAGCACGCCAGATTAGATGATGAGAACTGTATACTCTCACTTAACGCTAAGCTCTTCCATGAAAAAAGTAGAGCTCTCGGCGATGATCAATCACTGAGAGATGCGCCATGCATTATACTTCATTAAGAATCGTTTGGAGGTGATTAAATTTATATCTGGCCTTTACAATGAGTCGCGGTAGCCTACCAATGTATGTACTATCCTCACAGACAAGTCTGGTACCAATTTGCAGACCTCGGCGAGATGGAAGGCTTGGTGGGCCAGGGCGAGGGGATCGATTTCACGTGTGTGTTGCGGGGCGCCTCCGACCGCTGCGTCACTCGCGTCCTATATATCTTCCACAAATCAAGAAATTTCTATGAAGTCAAAGCGCAAGAAATTTATCGTAAATAGCCAATTTAGGCGTATGCTGTATTTCAACATGCCGCTTCACTTGGACTATTCCTTTCGGCTCAACAAAGATCTATGTACAACATAGAAGGACTTACTGGCAGAGCATGGTGGAGCAGTGAGCAAACTGGATACGCAAAGTATCTCAAGGTTCCTTTTCTATTCGCAATTCTATTCTTTGATGGCGCTGATCGATAGAACTAGCTGAGAGACAGGCGGGACGAAGAACCCACATGGTGTGGTGGTGAACGCGTTACTCCCCGGAAAGGACAATGGCGGGTTCGTTCCACGCCATAGACACCTGCTGTCCAGAGTTTTGCAAATATCTCAGCAACGTTGTGGTTGTATTTCGCTTAGTACCCTTCCGTGAAAATTGTAGTAGGCAGAAAATAAAAGGTAAAACATCTATTCTTTGAGTTCGTAAGAAACAATGTTGCCCCGCTTCTAGCTACTACTGAGCAGAGTAAAATAAAACGGCACACAATCGACAGCACTCATTGTGAGAAACATTGCTGAGGAATTATTTGCATAGTTCCATTACGTTTGCAAAATCTATGTGTTGTATTACTATAAAATTTTTCGCATCTCTTCTACATACTTCTGCTTTTAGGCAGTTGAACGTCAATGGGTTTCTATTCGTGCTGAAGCCACGCGTGTTCTACAATCAGTACCCAATTTATGGAAGGAGGAAAACCCAACAATTACTGTTGACGGACGATGGATAGCATTTCCGCTATTAGAAAACGGTTATTTCAATGTGAAGCACTGTGGAATGGTACCACAAACCTGCTCTATTCTGAGAGAATTCCGCGAAAGCAGTAATGCGAGCAGATCTGAGGTTTGAGTGGTTACAAATTTTATCCTGGATTTTGTGTAGTGTAACAAATGTAACGTAACCAAACTTCTTCTCTAGATGCGATTTTCCGCGCTCTCCTCAGGAGCACAGATTCTGCCACATTGTGGTCCGACTAACAGCCGTCTACAGGCACATCTTGGATTGATCGTACCGTCAGAAGCAAGAATAAGGTACATTTAAAAACTTCACATCACTGTGCATTTTACTATCTACCTACAACTGCAGAATTTCAGACGATAAACCATTCAGGGTAGGCAACGAACAGCGTGGATGGAAGACTGGCAAGTTCATTATATTTGACGACTCCTTTGAACATGAGGTGATTATCTTCATGCTGAACGTTTTGCGCCTTCCATTCGAAGATCAGCATGAGTCGTATTTCTATACCGATGCAACCACAATTAGAAATATCACTGTTGAACAGTTCACGTCAGCAATCGATATTTGTCGTACGTGATGTGTTAGTTCTGTACAAACAAGATCCGATTACAGCTACAATTCGATGGAGCATCGTCTTCTTCCCTGCGTCTCATCCTCCTCATTGATCTCTGGCATCCAGAAGTCGAATCGCGTCAGCGATCGACTCCCAAGGATGACTAACTCATGAACGGCATAGCATTGACAGGCAGCTCAACGTTTTCAGCTCACAGTCTCAAACCGATGTAGGATTGTTTTAGGTTGTTCGGAAATTACAGTCGGATTTATAATTCCATTTTTCTTGTGCATTTTTTATAAGTAGTCTCTTTTTGAATGCTGTACTATTACACACCACTGCAAAACTCATTCCATGCATTTTCAGTCCGCATAATTACAATATAAACTGTACCTTGAGAAATTTTACAGATTAGAAACGGATTTAAAAATAACGAATTCGACAAACGTGCCTTTACGAATCCATAGTTCATCTCAAACAGCTAAGTGGCTCCAAACACTAATCAGATATAGGGCCAAAAAAGCGTTAACAAAACGACAGTGTGATGTTGACTTCGTCGATTTCAAAGATTTCGTCATGGCGGATTTGGAGCTGGTGAGGAAGGAGGTGACGGACAACGACGATGATGAACTAAGTAACTACGATGGAGGCAAATACAAGCATTATTGTTTGAGAACTCACGGGAGAACTTGGGAATAATCATCTTAAAGTTTTGAAGGAGCTAGAAAAGTTGGAAAATCAAGGAACCTCGACAAACAGGCGCCATAGTCCCACAACCCACCCTTGCCAGATTTTGCGCATTCGAAGCTGTAAAGTTGGAACGAGCTAGGATATGAAATTCTGCCTTACCGACCGCCGCTTGTTCAAGTATCTCGACAAATTCCTTGCGAGAAATGCTTTAGAAATCACGCCTAGGCCGAATAGGCCTTCAACAACCTCATCGCACAGACGAAGTTCAGAGTTTTAAGCAACCGTTATGGGTAAACTTGTTTCTCGTTGAAAAAGTATTTAGATTCCAGTGGTTTTCATTTGACTAGTAAGGTTTATTCCGAGCTGAAATATTCCACTTTAATAAGATATAGATTGAAATACGCCATTAATTCCCAAACAACCTAAAAAATTATTCAATTTCATACACCTACGTGAACGTCTCTAGCCAACTGTGATGCAATGAGCCTGTCGCATTAACTCCAGTACATAGACTTTCCTATTATGTTGTTGTTTTGTCAGTTACCACATGTAAATAAATCGATGTGTGCCAATACTATGGCAGGATCCTACCCAGACAGATAAATAGCAGTACAGAATCCAAAGAGAAATGGTTAAAAAATAGAACGGATGAATAGGTTGACAAGGAAACAACGAGACTAAAAATAAGAAACTATTTCTAAACGTTAAAGGTTGCGTAGAATTTCAAACCACTGTCGCAAATGGAGGATATAAAAGCACAGGCACAATTTGCACACGTATTCGTGGCCCGTGATTTTGGGCTAAAAGCAATAGTTTCTGTACGAACGAAATACCACAATTCACTAAATTTGCGAAAATTTTCGATAGCCAAATACACTCGCTATGATCCGAGCGTTAGGACGAAAGGCCGGTAACAATACAAGGGGATTCCAAAATAAACAAGTACTAATTTTAACAAGAAAAAATGGAAATTTTGCACTGAATAACTTTTGTATGGATCCCTTTCACATTTCCGGGTGGTTTTAGCATGTTTTTGTTTAACCTATAGCTATTCATAAAATTGTACAACTTTTTAAAGGACAAAAAAGAGAGGGCTTTCAGCACTGACCAATTGCTGAGTCTTTGGAGGTGATTGAATGCATATCTTTCCTACACAATAACTTGCGGTGGGCCACCGATATATCAAGTGCTGTTATCCTTGCAGGCAGGTCTGGTACCAGTTCCTCGATCCTAGATGAATGGAAGGCTTAGTAAGCCGAGGAAGCGTGATCGAACTAAAGACCACATGTGTATTGCAAGAACCTCTAGCCATTGTGCTACACGGGTACCTCTAGAGCTTTTTATTTGTTCTAATTTAGATCCTAGACCATTGTATGTACGGAATACTCGGCCGTTCAGAGGAGTGCGCACATATGAAATATAGCGAGTTTTTGGCACCCGTTTGAAAAACGAGGGTTGCTTGATCAAAGCTTGTCTTTAAAATAGCTTATTTCTGTTCTCGAGGTATTGTAATGGTAAGTATAGAATGGATAGCATGATACACTAACAGTCGCGACTAAATGATGCTGTCTTTGCGTGATCGTCATGGACTGCAGTTGTGCGCATTTACGTTGAGTAATTGAATAGAAATGTGCAATTAAATAATTGAATAGAAATGTACAATGGGTGTTGCAATTTAGGATAAATTTGTGTAGAGGTAACTAAACTATAAATGGCGATTGACTACGAAGCAGTACTCGACAATGCAGTGTCGAGTGAACCATTTGCAGCGCAGAAAGCTTAGGAGCGGATAACTATGGACTCTTGTTACATTCAAGCATTAGCCAAACAGGTTAACCTTCCTATTACAGCTTGGTCCGTAGGATGGGTTTCTTTCAACAAAAATCGTTTATGTATAAATGAGGAAATTATTTTGTATGTAAGCAAACAGACAGAGCTGTAGCTTCTATTGTCAAGGAGACGTTACTTCAGAAACCGACGTGTTCCGCTGATAAGAACAGAACGTTCCGCAAAAGATGGAAAGACAATAAAGGTGCCAACAGCATCGGATCGGCGTAATAGTGTCAAAATGGAAGAATAAAACATAAAAAACATCCTTTAGAAAGTCCCTTAGGACATAAAAAGTCCCTTAAAGATACACCACGCGTTCAACCCCACTAAGCGTCCACGATGTGATCGAAGCCTATACATCCAACCCATACACTAGTTTGCGGTGGTCCTCTCGACGCATCGTGCGTGTCAGTGACTTCTTCCTCGAAAACAGGTCCCGATCCCAATAAATTTGCCGGCCTCGAAGAGATGACAGAATTGGTTATCCTTGGCTGATGCATCAATCTGCAATCACGTATGTATTGCGGAACACCTCTCAGTGAAGCGCTACATGCGTCCTATGCAAAGGCAAAAGAAGTGCTATTATGATGTCGACGTTGAATGAGGAATTCCATTCTCGAAAACTTTCCGACAATAATCCAATGCTACAATCAAAGACAACTTCATTTGGAAACAATTGATCAGATGGCATTATGTACTCTGCGTGTTAGAAAGATCGATAAGTAGTTTGTAAATTTTTCTTTCTCTCTAGTGATTCGTAAGCTCTTCCGCCTGGTCACATAAACAGCACTGTCAACTAAACATGTCTTCGAAGTTCAAAAGCCAAAGAAACGACGACGTTGTGTTGGCAGTTGTAATGAATTGTACAGATGCTATGAATCCAAATCTGTTAGAATACACATTGCGCCGATGGGCACTAAATGTGCCAATGTAACCAACACCTTTGCTTTGATTGCTTCAGCGACTATCATACAAAGTGTAAGCTATAGAAGTATACATTATGAAATTATACATAAAGATTGCATATTTTCAGTGCTGCAGAATTCCTACGGTTGTACCTTACAGGCAAACTGTGTGTAAGAAGTGAACACTAAAGAGTATGTTCCTTGTGATCCCTGTGAATAGCATGTAAAGAGTGCGAAATGTAAATACTGGAGATTTTAAAGCGGGTGTCTTAGAGTGCAATGTCTAAATCATCACTGAAATTTATGAGAAGATGAGTTGGGATCGTCTAATGCTTGCGATGGTGCACTTTGTGAGAATAAATTGCCAAACGCTTACTTTCTCTGCATATTAGTTGATCCGCATACCATAGAAGCGTCGCCAAGGATTTACCACCTTACCATAGCGAAAAAGCGTTCTTAACACTCTCGAGACGAATGATGGCTAATAGATTTCACAGCCGCAGTTGCTTAGGTGACGGAATTTTTTTTCTTGTACTTCTTGTAATCAATCGATAGCTGGTTCAACGCAGATGTTACGGCCGGCGTCGTCCACGGTAGCACGTCTTCTTAACACTTTGCTCGAGCTCTTTCGCTCGTGCTGGTCTTGCCGGATCGCCTGTCATTGGAGCGCAATTGATGGACACATTGATTTGAAGATGTATACTCTGTGAGTCCCCGCAGGATGCACGACGCCCTGCTTTCTTGAGATTGCTATTCCGTTGCTTAGTTCCCTCGCATTTTTTAAAATGTCCTTCTAACTTCCACATATCCCTTATGTTCTTCTGCAAATGCTCCCATGCCCTTTGACACCTCATGTGTGTGACCAAACTCCTGTTTGTAATAAAAAAAAACTAAGCCACTAACCATGACGTTATTAGCTTTCCCCATGATTTTGTGTGATAGTGGAAATTTATTTCAATATCCCTTTATGTTCTTTATATCGGCCGATTCCATTCCACCACTCGAAGCGGCTTTTGCAAGTATAGCAGAAAATATTTATTCACGAATCAGCCCCATCATGAAATTTGTGTTCAACAAGCTACCGATCTTAACTCCAAAGGGCATGGAGCTGTTATGTGATCTAAAAGCAATTTATCTACGTGGAAGTATTGAAAGTGAAGCATTTTTGGTCAACCCTGTGCACTGAATAGTTACGATACAAAAGGTTCAGTCGTTTCGCGACCGCGGCCAATTTCGTGTGGCTGGTCCATCGGATGGCATACCATTGGAGCGCACTTGAGATGCGTATCGAAATCAAGGTGCACCGCCCGAAACGTGCTAGAGCGTACATAATGGAATCAATGTGAATGGTTGTTAAAGCGGTAATAATTTCTCACCAATTCCTCATTTTACGGCGAAAGTCATTACTGTTGAAGGGAGTGTGCGGCGTGTGGCCTGTGAAGAGGCGCGGAAGTGCCTCTACCTCAAAGAAATTGCATCGCATGCGGTGTCAAGAGCAACTCTTGATAAGCGATTTTTTGGTTTCCGATTTTCAGTTGCTACGACGACATTGGGGTGGTTTCCGGTTTTCAGTTGCTACGACGACATTGGGGCGCGTATAGGGCAGTGCTAGGAGGCGCCCCGCAATGCACATAGGATCGATCCTGGCGCCCCAGACTCACCGACCCTTTCATCCTTCCGGGGTCAGGAACTTGATACGATTCTTGTGTAGGAGGGTAGTAGCACTAGCTCGATACATTGTT